TGTTTCAGAGGACTTTTCACCATGAATTTCTACATTCTAATGATTTTTTTTTCTACATTATACATTTTTCTTCCCTTATTATCTCTAATTTATCTTTCTTTTTCTATTAACCTCATGTCTGAAAAAGGCAGGTTGATAAAATGATGCCACCTTAAAAAACATACAAACAACCCTTTTGTGACAAGTTATAGTCTCTCACACAAAAGAGGTTTGTTCCTCACCAAGCTAATGAGTGGCAGAGCCTGGCAGCCAGCTGCATCCTCAGTGGTTGACAGGATTAATTATTAATTTATGACAATAAATGATTCATGAGTCTCTTTTTTTGTTTGCTCCAGAGGTGTGGTGTGTGCTGCACAGGTGGCTGAATTCTCACTGGGAGGGGGAAGCAGGGGGATTACTTTATGTGAAACCCAGATCTGACACCTGCACAACAGACACACGGTAATGGAGGAAACAGATATTGTTCCACATCTGGGATTGCATGCCAACAGAACCACTGGTATATAAACACAGGATAGGGATAGAATACCATGCATGCATGTACTGTATACTGTCGGTCTATGTTTACCTTCTCTTTGTCTAGACCACATGTATAGTTTTGTTCTGCATTATCAGTTGACTTAGGAATGGGGTTCAGAGAGTTTAGTCAGCAGAGACACACTGGAGAAACAGAAACAGCTCCATAGGATATACTTTTTTTTTAACTTTCAACTTGGTTGTGATTTTATATAGTTGCAAAACATAACAAAGAGTCAGTTTTAGTTTCAGTAGATCATTCTGCCTTCCATCTGTTGGTTTTATTGATTGAACCTGCTCTATAATCTCCAGCCCTCTGACCTTTCTTAGGCCACACGGAGACGAAAACAAAAACGAATCGAAGCCGTTTTCAAAAAAGTCTTCCGTCCACACGGAATCGGCTCAAGAAACGTGTCCGTCCACACGAAAACGCTCGAAAATGCTTGAAAACGCTTGAAAACGCTGGAGACGCTGTAGTACATATGCCGGGCCTGTAAGTGGCGCTGTACTTCCGCCACTAAATACACCAAAAGCAGCGAATCAGAACCCCCGAGCATGGGCATAAGCAGTGGCGGCTGGTGGAAAATATTTTAGGTGGGGCTGTGGAAATGGTGATCAAACAATACTAGAGGGGTCCGGGGGGATGCACCCCCCCGGTAATTTTTTTTGAGAAAAGACCCCTTAAATCATGACTTCTGGTGATGTTAGAGGGGGGGAGGGGGGGGGGGGGGGGGAGAAGGACAATTTGAGGCTTAAAAATATGAGAAGACTGATCAATACCTCCATAACTTCAGTGTGGTTAGCTATGAATCTTCCAAAACTTCCAAACACCTTGTCCTGGACATAGTTTCTACAGCATAAACTGTGCAACAGTACAGTAGGCCCACACAAACTGCAGAACACCGGGGCTTTGGGAACACTGATTTAATTCCCATTTAACCTGTTAAGGGGCTTTTTTCCCCCGTTTTTTTTCTCACAAAACTGTGTCTCAGGGCTTCTTAAAATGTAATAAACTATTCATGTGTCCTACTCAGAGGAAACGCATCTAACTGATGATATGAACCATGTTTACCGAAACAAAACACAAGTCTCACAAGAAGCGTCTAAATGAGCCCTGAGCGAAAAAATGCTAACGCACTCTAGGTATAAATCAATCGATATACTTATCGGATATGCACAAACAAGCTTACAAACTGAGATTCCACATATTCTAGAAATATAAGTATCATCACTGAGCGATCAGAACTCGCGACAGGGGAAGCAAATACAGACATCACACGACGTAGCTTTAGGTAGCAAAACATGGAGATATGCTCACCTTTTGCAGAATAACAATTCTGATCAAAAATGAGAAAAACGCAGCTGAAGGTTAATCCATAGGTTAATCCAATGTGTCTGTCACTTTGAAAAATGATTGATGATCCATAATTCAATTTTTATGTAAAAATCGGAGTTTTCATTAGCTGTAGCTTCCAGAGTGTATGACAGCTTCCTGTTTTGTCTCCTTGGATACGAGTCCAAACAACTCACAGACTGCACCGGGCGCTCACGTAGGAGCCCTGTGACCATCATATTTGACGACACTGATAGGCTGAAATTATGTTTTCGCGGCATAGTTTACACGTTACAGATAGCAACAGTCAGCTGCTAGTGGCTGCTGCTGCACTGGTTGAGGGCTCCTCTCTTTAGCGCCCAGACGAGAGAAGGTACACGGGCAAGGCCAGGCAGGAAACATGTGACTTATCAGTAACTTTAGACATCGTAACACAATTTTAAACGAGATTTTATTGTAGATTATACATTTTACTGATACCAATTATATAATATTTACCTTGTTCATTAAAAATAAAAATAAAAATATATATATTTTTTTAAATATATTTTTTATTTTTATTTTTATTTTTATTTTTTAATATGGGAAGAGGTGGGGCGGCGCCCCTATGGACCGGCCGCCACTGGGCATAAGGTATAAACAAACACATACATGTCCACTTGTTGCTGATGGTTGTGGTAGAGGAGATGTAGATTTTGCACTAACATCTGTATCATGGTCAGTAGCGTCTGGAGCACGAACGCAACCCTGTGATCCGCCATTGTTGTTGTTGTTGGCGAAATGCATCAGCAATGACGTGGGGGTGAGCAGGAGAGGTGGGGAGAGGCGGGGCTATGGCGTCATCGTTTCAGGGAATGATCGTATAGGACAGGCCTATTCAAATGGCGGCCCAGAACCAACTCCCGAGTGGCCCAGCCTCCCGTGGCCAAATTCCTACACTAGTACAGACCTGCGTCACCTGCGTCATTGCTGATGCGTTTCGCCAACAACAACAACAATGGCGGATCACAGGGTTGAGTTCGTGCTCCAGACGCTACTGACCATGATAAAGATTTTAGTGCAACATCTACAGCTCCTCTACCACAACCATCAGCAACAATAATAATATAATAATAATAATAATAATAATAATAATAATAATAATAATAATAATAATAATAATAATAATAATAATAATCGTCATCGGTCTTATTCAATGCTTTTGGTGTATTTTGTGGCGGAAGTACAGCGTCACTTACAGGCCCGGCATATGTACTACACCGTCTCCAGCGTTATCGAGCGTTTTCGCGTGGACGGACACTTTTCTTGAGCCGATTCCGTGTGGACGGAAGACTTTTTTGAAAACGACTTCGGTTCGTTTTCATTTTCATCTCCGCTTCGTCTCCGTGTGGACGGGGCTTCAGTGTTCTCTGATAACCGCTTCCTTGTCTCAGCTCACACCTGCGGCTCTCAGAGGGAGCAACCGTTGAGTTGGGGGAGGTAGGCCGGGGTCTCCCTGGTCTTATCACAAAACAAGGGAGTATAAATTAGATCAACATGAGCATGCAGCAAAATACTTTTATGCCCTCTTTGATTTCTTTAACAGCCTCATCTGTTGTGGTATTCAGCAATGATACAGCGGCTGCCCTTTTGCCAGTAATGATTGATTGAAAACACGAGCTGTGTTTAACTCTTCAGCTCTACCCTGCTATTGATTGTTTAAACAGTGGTACAAATTCTTAAATTGGCTATGGTTACTTGTGGGTTCAAATATCTGTGCTCTGGACATATGAAGTGCCATTGACAAAATATAATATCATTCTTTGTTTTAGAAAAACTCCATAGGCCCCTAAAGGCATCCCAACAAAATGCACATGCTTGTAAACACTATTTGGTTTCTTGTGAATAATCCTTCATTTGGTAAAACCGTGTCACCTTTGAACGTAGGAGCAAAAACATCTGTGGTCTTGACCCAGAAATGATGGTCTACCCTCCACTTCTCTGCTAGGTTGAAGAAAGAGGAAGCTGTTAATGGGCCGTCTGACAATGTCCTTTTGCTTAAACATTACCTTTGCACTCAACCCTTTTATCTGTGTCTGATTGATGGGGCTTCGGGGGCCCTGAGTGCTCCTGCAGGTCCTGCGTCGCTTCCTAATGGCTGCCTTTGCCCAAGCTTCAAGCTTCTCTATCCCGAGGGAAACTTCACCATTAATTACAGCAACGTCATGGTATATCAATCAGAGACTCCCGTTAGGCACTGAAGGGTTCTTAATTGGCCGATTACATGCAAAAGAGTTGATGAAGTCCAATAAACTCCTGTAGTGGAAACACTGTCTGTAATTTAGAAGCATGTCTCTGGATCTGCTCGATTTTCAGTTTGCCTATCTGTCTTGCTGGCAGGGACGAGACCCATGGGTGCAAGATGGAGAGGAGACCTGAGCTGAGAGGAAGCTCTATCCTTTCATGCTGGGAACTACAAACAAGAACCGTTGTGAGACCTGTGTGCCGTGTGCCTGCAGTATATTTACTCTATTAAACAGTCTTCATGAAAAAAGAGGAATAGGATGTTTCTCTCTTCAGATACTGTATAACTCACTGAGGAGGAGGTGCAGAGTAGGCGTTACAAAATGGTTTGGACCCTTTTTATTTTTAAGTAGTGAAAATACTGTTATTTGTAATGAGTCAAGCAGTGGGAAAACTTGGCGAGAACTGTAAGAAATAGCTTAGTCATAATTTGTATCCTGATGTGTTGTGTTTCATTTCATTTGTCCCTTTGATTGTTTATTGTGTGTTGTCAATTTCTAATCATTTATGTTATTTTATTTAAATGTTGGTAATTTGTACAGTCATTTTTAAGCTTCTGATTTTTTTATACAAAGCATGTGATCATATCATAAAAAATAGATTCATTGATACAATATCAGTATAAGTTTAAAGTATAGTATATATGATCATTTGAGTATATTTTGCTCTTAATACTGTACTATACTCAAGTAAAACATGGAACAAAGAACTCAAAACATCTGTTATTTCCAGTAAAATGAAAGCCAAGTACTATTATGACCACTTTTTCTGACAACACAGGGAAATCACATGCCCTGTCAGCACAAAAATGGGATCATATTATGTCTTCCTTTTTTTAAATAACGGACGTTTAGTGGTGAGTGTCTTAATCGAGAATGCCTTAAAGAATGGCATTCTCACAAAGGACTTTTCCAGGAACCTGAGCGTTCTGTGCCCTGAAACCCCACCTGAGGAAACCTGCGTACTTGGTGCTTCTTGTCAGCACCTCAGAGACCTTCTGCTTCCCAACAACCATCTCTCTCCTGGAGAATTATCCCAGGTGAATATGAGCTTTCACTGAAACCATGATGGAATGCATTGTAATGGTCTTTTCGTCAGATGGAGCAGCATACAGGCTCCATTTCCTCTAATACAAATATGTTACAGTGTAAAGCAATCAAGTGATTTTGAATGTGGAAGCTTTGTATATATTTTTTTTATAAATTGATTAAAAACTCACAAACTTAAGCAATTCTTTTTTAAACTTTGAAAATTGATAGATATGCAGTCACAGATAATTGCTGTGAAAATGCCTATGACCTGGTTTCTGTTTGCAGTCTCACACTGGGGAATGCCCATGAGGTATGGGTGTGAAGTAATGATTAAGACACGACTGCAGAATCCCACAAGACAAGTACGGGAGGAATTTCAGCAGTAATGAGGGGAAAATAATGGCTTGCCACACATGTGAATCTCATTTTTGTTTGGATGGATTCATTCATTTATCCAAATCTATCTATAGAAGGAAAACCTTTTATAGATAGACTAGCCAATACATTACGAAAACAGTGGTGCTCTATTTCTATTAAAAATGTTCCTGTCATGTGACTGTGTCCGCCTTAATGTCCCAACATTGAAATCCCATCTTCAATATTGCTTTTGGGTTATTTCTGTTGTTGTGTGTATAACTTTGCCAAGTGTATAGAGAAAGTGTTCAGTCTTAGTGTAATTGGTCATGGTCAGCAGACACAAACATGACACTGGTGTAATATGCTCATTGAATGTTAAGGAAAAGTGTGGGATTATTTTAATAGTTAATAAAGAACTAGTGTCTTCATTGGCTCTGTAATAAGCAGGACTGTGTCATTCTCTGAGAGCACAAGGTTCATTGATAACATGTGATGTGATGATCATCATCGTGTCATGTGGCAACATTGCATGGTTTGTTTAAAAACGAAAATGGGGGGAAAATGGGTTTACATAATAAATATGTAATAGTCCTTTGACCTGGTTACGTCATTTCTTTATCAACATGGATGTATCTATATTTATTCTTATGCTTCAGACAGTCTCAGGTAGACTTGCTGAGATGATTTATACAAGGGTTACATAATCAGAATGCCAGATCAACGGAAATATGTTAGAATTAGGCAAAACGTACACAATAATGGAGGTAGGATAAGGACTGTCACATCTCAAAGCTATTTGTACCCATTAAAGTGTGCTGAATGTGATGCAAAGTGACTTACCTCCAGTGAGTAGAGTTACGTTTATCTAATTGCTTACTTGTGAATGAAGACAGTCATTAATTTATCATATTTATTTTAATAACATATCATTTACAGTCAATGTGATAGTGCTGTAAAGGTCAGCCTTTTATTTCACGATTATTTGAGTGCAAACATTCACATGTCTATGAATTTACTTTCTTACTAAGTGCATTACCTATATTTCCAATTGGTAATGTCCCATTTCAGGGTTCTGTTGCTTTTTTGTACGTGCAATATGTGCAGTGACATGCAGAGTGGCATTTTCCTAAGGACTATGTTAAAGACTTGTTTTTATTAAATAGTAATAATTGAAATGAGAAGAATTTTTTTTTGAATAAAATATTATTAAGGGGAGCAATCCCAATTTAATGAAGCTAATTATTTTGAAAAGAATCACTAAATAGGAATGTACCTCCTTTTCGTAATGTTGCATCATCATGGTATGCCACTGAGAGACTTATATTTTGAAATCTAGTAGTAAAACAGCAGTATAACAAGGTAGCCTAGTCTTTGTTCATGATCACCTCTAAACCTCAGGAAGAAGGTTTGCACTGCATTACAGTGCACTGCTTTTGTATTTCTATATCACATTATAGTATAACACACTGAATTGGGTTCATTCGTATCCCATTCATGCCACTGCAGATCCCGAAATTATAATGAAATAGTTATTAAAACAGGTGTAACATGAAATGCAATTTAAATATATTCAGTACACATTACATTTAAATGGAGTCACACAGTATGTCTGAGGTGAATCACTGAAGACGGAGAGAGTTAAACCCGGTTTCAGTCCCCAGACCCCCCCTGATATCGCTTAGTCACCGCGTCCCGGGGAAGCAGCGCCTCCCTGTGTACACACCGATTGGTCGGTGCTCCTGACGGGCTCGCCTTCTCCACAGCCGTCTCCAGAGCAGGGCGGGGCTGCCTCTCCGCCAAATTGAATTAGGCTACAACCGGCAGAAGAAAACTTAGCCCGGGTCGATTCATGGAGCAGTGTGGGAATGCTCTGACCGTAGGTGGGAAGCAGAGAACCGGACGGCAGCTACATTTCGGCCACAACACCCCGGACTGCCGCTGCTGCTGGTGCGTTCAGTGACCTGTTTAACACACCACGGCACCGGGCTTGGCGTAAAACATCTGCGAGGTGGAAAAAGAAGCGTGTTTATTCCTGCGCCTCCACCAGGATGATGTGACACATTATATCATCTGCTGCCTGGGAGAAATACAATCTGTGTTTTCTGTTTCACTGCTGGAGATCATCTGAGCTGCTTGTTATAAGGGTAAGTTGTGTCATTATTTCATGCCTGTCTCCTGTGGTCGCTCATACGGAAGGCAGCAGCCGAAGGAAGCGCTCACGCGTCGTGATCGAAGGGGATAAACGAGTTTATATTGAATTACTGGTCGACATGGGAATCCTTCACATACATGCTGTACATAGTAAGCAGAGCATCATTTAGGTTACAGGGTGCTGTGCCATTGGTGGTGCCTGGAGTGGAGTTTTTAGTGAAAGTAGGCTATTTAAAGTGCTCATGTGGTATAATTGGATCTACCTTTAGGCCCGATCACCTTTTAAAACGTGTGAAATACCCTACACATTTGAGAGATGTTGAAGTGGGATTAATGAAGTGTGAAATGAGCCTCAAGTCCAAAATGAGCCACAGGCTGATAAGCTAAATGACTTTCTTCCCTTTTTTTTAGGTTTAAACTTGGCCACATTCTGTAGAGATTACTTTCATAAGAACCAGCCAGTATGAGCCAAACAAATCTCATGGTTAGAGGCTGATGGAGGATGGCTCAGCCTAATTGTTGTTTGTACTAAGGAATACACCTTAATGACTATGTTGTTGACTAATCATACATCACATCATGCATAAAGTCACACCATGACCTCACTTCTCCTCTTCCTCCCACTCCTCCCTCCTCTTCCACCTTCATTATCAGCATAATTTACCTCAAATGAAATCACAACTGTTTCATGTTTCTGTGAATCAACAAATTGCTGCACCACACATTTGCTTGGCTGTAATATAGATGGCTGGCTGCACACAAATGTTATATCATTCCTGATGAAGATGTGGATGAAAAGAGCAGCACACAGCATGTGGTTCTCATATCATCTCCCTGCTCTCCCACCCTTTGAACCTGAAAGTATTAGTTCTTCTTTAGATCTGTGTGTTCTTCTGAATAGTGGCTTTCATGGGGCACTAACACACAGTGACTCAAAGTGACTCATGGCAAATTGTCCCAAAAGGTAACAGATTCTTCAAAATGATACACATGGAGGGGCCACCTTAACGTTTAGATTTGACTCATAAGAGGTTGAAAGCTCCATGGAAGACAGCACCAGTATTCACAAACTGCAAACTTGTTGACATTGGAAAGGTTACGCGCTTCAATGTCCTACAATACCTGGGCAGACTGAAGTGAAACCATAGACGTACTGTATTAGAAACTGCTGAGTTATTTTGGCAGACAGGACATAGGAGCACATGGCCCGGTTTGTGTGCCCAGTGTTCCTGAAACCTTATCGCATGGAGGGAGGGGGATCATCGCTCTGGGTGATGTAATCACACCGATAAAGCATTGCTCTGATGTGTGATAGTGGCAGTCTTCCTCTGTGTCTGCTCCAACTGGACTCCAGAGAGAGTATTCCCAATGTGTGCGTGTGTTTGGATGTTTATGTGGGTGCATGTGGGTACGTGATACTTGGAGGGAGCTGGGAGTAGCTGTGCTGAGGCAGGTGGACCATCCAGGCCGGACTGTGTTGACTGGCTGGTATTTGAGTTTTTCAGGGGGCTGCTGAGGGGGCCACGCTGTAGTCATGCCTGCATGACTCATGGCGCGGTATCTGTCTGTCAGTCTTGCCAAGTGCAAAATCCTGTACAAATGCTTCATGGTGCTGCCTTCAAAAGAGCCACTGAGCGTGACTTTACACTCAGCGGTTGTGTTAACATTCATTCATTGACATTCTTCAATAGATATTTATTTGCATTCCTCTCAAAGCATGTACAGTATCACTCTGCAATAGCACCGTGATGATGTTTTTCATATGTGGCCTAATCACTTCAAGATGATGCATCTGGGTTAAATCCCTGCAGAAATCAATCACTCTCAGACCTCACCCTATTCAATTTGAAAACAATTTCCCCTACATGCTTACCTATATGAGAATGTTTTGTTTCCTTCCATTTTTTAAATGTTATGGTTAACAATTCATCTCATGAAGTGTTTTTGCTGTATTTGCAACCTGGTGATCAACAGCAAGTTTATGAGTTGTTTGGTTGGTAGGTGTACGTTTTTAAGTATTCAATTGTGGATAAGATATCTGGGTCTCAAATAGGGGTGGTCGTCCAGTATAAGTAAACACTGAGGGCACCTGACTCCTGAATGGTTGGCCATTCTTAATCAAACAATGTCCAAAGTGTAACATAGGCAAAGATCCATCGAAATTCTGAGTTCAGAACATTAGCAGGACATAGTTTTGTGGTCCAGATTGTTTTTCTCTGTATATGTGATGCTCTGCTGATGAGATGACACAGCACTACAAAGCAGCGATAGATTTCCTGGAACAGGCCCTCTCAAATGAGAAATCTTCCTGTTCCCAGACTGGGGTGTTCTCTGTGTGATTGTTGGTCATTTTCTTTAGTCTCCCTGGACAGAGCTCGCTCTGAGTTCAGGATAAATGCACGTCACTGGGCTGAACAGTCCCATGTGTCTAGAGCACATGCTCCTTTAAATAACCTCAGGCTGTTTCTCCAACAAACGCATCTGTATCACAAGTCGAAATGTCTTCCCTTGTAAATTCTGTTTTCCAGGCGACCTGCAATTGAAATTGTTATTTGATCCAGGTAGCAAGTTGCTCCGACTATATGCTGTTGTTGTTAAGGAGCGCCTTGCAATAAGTCACATTGGATGCCATCTAAAGGGTCCATGTTGGGAATATATATAAAAGTTTTGTGCCCTGTTTTCTTTTACTTTATTTGCATAATTCTTTGAGGACTTGATCTCTAAAATACACTTCTTTGGGTTTCAACAGAGCTTGTAGTAATTGGCCTACTCCCAATGAATGAATCGTGTTGAACCTTAATGACTGAAAGTTGTTATACTCTTAACTGAAATAGATATTTCTCTGAGACTCTTTGCGTCTGTCATCTTTCTGCTTTGTGTGAAAACTGCTGCAGTGAGCATTGTCTCCTGGGTGGATTTGTGAATGTGGGGCACGGCAGCAGTTTCTTGAGAGGTCAAACATGTTAACCAACTTGTTCTGCTACTTTGGAGACAATACGCACGGTTTCCTGCTAAATATATTGGTTACAACTATTCCTCAAATAGACATTAGCTTAAAAAGCATGTCAGGTATGTATTTTACAGAGGCTTAATGGTGAGAGAGCCCACAGGCACTGTTTGATCTAATTCTCGGTGGTACTCAGCGCGTACCTTTTTTACTTTGATGTGGTTTACAGTTTTGACTAAGTTGTCAGGAGCAGGAACAGGGATTTTTCTTGAATGCAAATAATGTGGTATTTGTTGAAAAACAGAAATGGTGTTGTGTCTCTAGTGTCTGTCGTGGTGCAACAAG